ACGTGAAGGCTGGAAAATACCATGTCTGTATAAATTATGCAGTCTGCCATTTCCCTCTTTAAAATACACAAATGTGAGGGTCAGAAGCCTTCCAAACAAAGAACTTTAAGCTGAGGAACAGATCTCCATAAAGTCTTTGGTTAAGGCCCAAGAGGGGCAAAGAGAGGCAAAAAAATATGTTCTCTGTTTAATTACCGAAGCCATAACAACATGTTATTTTATACATGATTTCCGACAAAAGTGGAAATGTTATTTTCCACGAGCGTAGCTGCTGGTTCTACTACAAATAAATAGTACAGCGTACGCTCAATAGGCAAGAGACGGGGGCCATGTGTTTTCATTAATTCCCTTGGCAAGGGAGCACATGTAGATTTTGGATTGGAGCATCGGATTGGAATACGAGAGCTGGGGTGGCCAACATACATCACTGCAGACTAAATTTGGCCTGCGTCCATTTGAAAGTTGGTCCGTTACCTAGTTTTATCATTCTAATTACAAGCAGCCTCCTGAATAATTTCCTCCCTTCCAGAGACATCTTTAGCAACAGCCTGTTTCTCCTCCCCTTTTCCTCCCACTCTTTAGATGGATTCTGATTTACTTTCCCAAATTACAATTCTGTAAACAGCTTTCTCCTTGTCCTACTCCATGACAGAGCCAGGTTCTGGCTAACCACGGTGCTATATGGGGTAGCAGCTCGCAGGTAGGCATGAAATGACTTGGCCAATGGAGTAGGAGGAAAAAGCTCTTCCTTCAGATCTCACTAGCTGGGAAATATCCATGGTGGAAGTGAGGGATAAAGGTGGATGTGAAAGAGATTGGCTATGAGACCATCCAGGGAAGGGAGGGGTCTTGTGTCTGGTGGCAATCTGTCTGTCTGCTTTGTTTGTTTTTTTACACGGGCACATGCCCAAAATTACATACAGGACATGACGGCTACGACCCATCTGCAAAGCTGCCCAGGATCAACTAACCAACCAGCGTTTTCCCCTGAGCTGGAACGGACTACCCTTCCCCCTCAATGAACTGAGGAGTACTGTGCGATGAAGCCTTAATGACCCACAAATGAACAGGACTGAGCTTTTCCATATCATCCAAAATATGTGTTCCTTCCAATCAGCACTGGTTGCCTGAGGAGAGTTTTCTCAAAACCATTTCTCCCACATACAGAGCGAGGAAAGTGTTCCATCAGCAGGTGTGTTTTGGCTTCTCATCTGCAATTGCCAGGGTTTAACCTCTCTTTGGTGTGGATTATTACAATAACTGATATTGATGACGTGGCCTTCTTTGTGCGCCTGTCCCTAATGACTTCTGCAGGCTTTGCATCCTGCATTATGGATAGTACAGGAGTGGTTTTAATTAACTTTCTGGGCTACACAGCTGACACTGGTTTTGATTTCAAAAATTGTTGCATTCAGCTGGATGATTGTTGTAGGTTAGGGTCACCTGAGGGAGCTGAAAATGGAATCCCAATGTTTTCTGTTCTGGGTTGTGGGGTTTTTTTTTTTTTTTTTTTTTTAAATACTCCAAGCTTTAGAAAAACATACAGGCCAGAAGAGTGTGCCTGCTATTAATCCACAATGATGTGGGTAGGTACGGCTATTTTGCCGTGTCTGCTTTTGTGTTATAGAATCATAGAATATTAGAACCCGAAAGGACCTCGAGACGTCATCAAGTCCAATCTCCTGCCCTCACAGCAGGACCAAGCACCATCTAGATCATCCCTGAGCAGTCTGTCCAACCTGTTCTTAAATATCTCCAGAGATGGAGATTCCACAACCTCCCTAGGCAATTTATTCCAATGTTTCACCACCCTGACAGGTAGGAAGTTTTTCTTAATGTCCAACCTAAACCTCCCTTGCTGCAATTTAAGCCCGTTGCTTCATGTCCTATCATCAGAGGCCAAGGAAAACAATTTTTCTCCCTCCTCTTTGCAATACCCTTTTAAGTACTTGAAAACCACCATCATGCCCCCTCTTAGTCTTCTCTTTTCCAAACTAAACAAATCCAGTTCTTTCAGTCTATCCTCATAGCTCATGTTTTCTAGACCTTGACTCATTTTTGTTGTTCTTCTCCGGATCTTCGCCAATTTCTCCACATCTTTCTTGAAATGTGGTGCCCAGAACTGGACACGATACTCCAATTGAGGCCTAATCAGCACAGAGTAGAGCGGAAGAATGACTTCTCATGTCTTGCTCACAACATTCCTGTTAATGCAGCCCAGAATCGTGTTGGCTTTTTTTGCAACAGCATCACCCTGCTGACTCCTATTTAGCTTGTGGTCCACTATGACCCCTAGATCCCTTTCTGCAGTACTCCTTCCTAGACAGCCGCTTCCCATTCTGTATATGTGAAAAGGATTGTTCCTTCCTAAGTGAAGCACTTTGCATTTGTCTTTTTTAAACTTCATCCTATTTATCTCAACCCATTTCTCTAGTTTGTCCAGATCATTTTGACCCTATCCTCCAAAGCACTTGCAACCTCTCCCAGTTTGGTATCATTTGTAAACTTAATACGGGTACTCTCTATGCCATTATCTAAATCGTTGATGAAAGTATTAAACAGAACTGATTCCAAAACAGACTCCGGTGGAACCCCGCTTGTTATGCCCTTCCAGCATGACTGTGAACCATTAATAATTACTCCCTGAGCATGGTTATCCAGCCAGTTATGCACCTACCTTATAGTAACCCCATCTAGGTTGTATTTCCCTAATTTATTGATAGGAAGGTCACACAAGACTGTGTCAAATGTCTTACTAAAGTCTAGATATACCATGTTCACCTCTTTTCCGTTATTCACAAGGCTTGTTATCCTACCAAAGAAAGCTATCAGATTAGTTTAACACGATTTGTTCTTTACAAATCCATGCTGGCTGTTGCAGATTTGCTCATTTTTGCAGATGTGGATGCAGATACAAATTTTGCATCTAGAACCCTGCAAATATGCAGATAAAATCTGATTTATATCCACAGGTACTCACATCTGTGGATGTCAATGCCAGTATCTGTGGCTCATTTTTGCAGATACAAAATTTGTATCCATGCAGGGCTCTAGGTATTTATTTATTTTAAACATCAAAAAGATGAATTCAACAGTTTGGACTAACACTCATAAATCCCAAAAAAGAAAGTACACCTCTTTTAAAAAACTTACGAGAGCAAAAAGTAAAGGCTTCAGAGGATGGTAAACTTCTAATTTTTATTTTATTTTTCATTCTGTGGAAGGTAAGGCCCTGACCCCTAAATAGGATTGAAGTGGATAGATGGACACACCTTATGGGGTGGAGTCCCTTTGTCGTAAATGGCTGAGGATGAGGGAAGATATACTAAAATAACTGTCCAATTTATTATTCTCCCAATTAAACTCACACATCCCTAATGAAAAACAAAGGTACACACTTTCCTTGCAACACATTCTGAAGGTCAGAAAACTCAAGTTCTACCAAAACTTCTGCAGGACGGGACATGATTCCAGAGATGATGGTCCACTGAGAAGGCCTACCCAGATGTCAGACTCATTATTCCACCTGAGACCAACTGCTAGATTGAAAGTGCAAGGAAACAGATCTCTCAAATTCTCTAGAGGACAATGAGGCAAAGCCAACATCAGAAACTGCTCCGGGAAAGCAAATGGGAGCCCTTGCAAAGCTAAGCAAACAGGTGCATGATGCGCCACTGCTAAGCAAGTAGAAAAATGGATTCTAAGCAATAGATCCAATGCCGATTGAACACTGTGTCATCAGAGGTATTAGCTACAGAGAGGAAAGGAATGTTGCCTCAGCAGCTTCCTTGAGCATGCAACCAAGGAACCAGATTACTTGACTGGATTACTGTCACAGCTATCTCCTCTTCTAATCCCAGGCCCATATCACACGAGAAGGCCAAATAATGACCACAAGAATGCAAGACAGCATTGCTCCATCTCTCCACAATCTAAATGGTGGTAATGCCTGGAGCCAGAGTGCAAACAGCTATTTATTACCAAAGTGAAAACGACTCACTAAGATGGGTTTCAAAAGACAAAAGTATATAGGGGGAGAACTTGATGACTGATGCACCGCATATTTGATCGGACTTTGTTTCCAGACCCGACTCCTGCTGTCGTAGGTCTGTCGTTTGGAAGAGTAAACAGAAAGCACCCACCTTCCTTAAATGGTTTGATTTTTCCGAGAGACAACCCAAACACCCAGACGGTGAGATATCAACAGTCACTAGCCATTTTAGAATGTCTTGGGCATTCCAAGAACTTCCAAGAACATTCCAAGAACTTCCTTGGAATATTAAAAGACAAGCAAACTAGCAGACCTTCTATCTACCTGATGCTGACTGTAGAGTTTCAAATCCCATTTTTCTAGCCCTGCTTTGGTGCATCAGTATCAATTCTATGATCGGACTGCAGCTGGATCTTCCCAAATACTAAGCAGGGAGATGGCTCATTGGTTCTTCCACATATAATAAACCTTTGGCTTGCTCATTAACAAAAGCTTGCCAAAACCTTCATCGTGTTGCGTGGAGATAAAATTGTCTTTGTATCTTTAAAGCAAGTTATGAAGAACCTCCCCGCCCAAAAAAAATCTTAAAAAAAAAAACCAACACCTTGTAAAAGTCAGAAACCCAGATGCCTTAATTGGACCTTTCTGAAGAAAACCAATTTTTTTTTAACCCAGCACTTTGTACAAGTCAGAAAGAGAGAACTTAATTGGATATTAAGAGTCGATGGTTTTTCTTGCACAATTTTCACACAGGGAATAACCTAGCTGAGTCTTTTGATGTTAGTCCTGAGAGGGCTAGGAGGAAGAGGTCTCATGGGTTTCTTGGATGGAAAAAAGTTGCATGGATAAAGTTATCTGGAGATCCTTGCACTACCCCAGTGGAAGTGGGCTGGGTTGGAGGAACAATGAGCGTAACCCAGCTGGAGAAGGAGAGAAAAGATGTAGAGAAAAGAGAGATTTACTAACAAGGTAAAGCAGACAGACAACTATTGGTGTTCCGAACGCTCACCTCATAATGGTAATCCATACAGGTCAACTCTCTCCAGCAGCGATCACCTCGGATTTTAATCAAGCCCTGTAAGGAAAAAAAAGTTTATTTTCTTTTGCACGTCAAGATAATACCTCAATATATCATGCCACAGTTAAGCCCCAGGGAGCGCGCCACACATTAAAAGAGGGAAACAACATAGATTTCAACAAATAACTTCTTTTAAAAGCCTCCCTACTTCTGCACCCAATTTCATTTATGCAAAGTTAGAGAACAGAGCAAATGCCAGAGTGCTCAGAAAAAGTGTTTCTAGGCAACGGACACTTTCCACTTTCTGTTTGTTTAAAATAATTTGACGTACGAATCTCACTGGAATGTGACACATCGTTTAAAATGTGACAGATAAGCTGGCAGGAGATACCATGGCGATGGCTGCCTGGATAGATAGAGAAAAGCTCGCGATGTGTCAGGGAAACAGAATTACTTGAGACCAAACTGAGGGACTCTTCCTACATTTGACCCTCCTGAAGAGCCGACGATATTCAGCACCTTACAAGTTCATGAACGTACCTGAGGTGCTACGGTAATTAGGGATGTTAAAATGCATGTAATTTGCTAACCGTGTAACACTGAAGATTTCAGCGGTTATACAGGTACCTGCAGGGTGGCAGCCAGCCCCCGGTGAGTACCAGCTCCTACCCGCCGCCCTGCTCCCGGGGAGCCAGCTGCTGCCCTGCGCTGCTGCCTCTGTACCAGCACAGGGCAGCAGCCGGCTCCCCAGGAGCCAGACTGGGAACCGTGTGTAAGTGTCTGAATAACAGCTACCCATTTATGCAGCTAGACTCTTGCATCCCTAATGGTAATATACAAAGGGTAAACCGGCCATTGCAGGTGCCTTATACTCACCGCACCTCAGCCATGGGAAAGGTGGGGGTATATCGCCGATGCCTGATAACATTCCCTTATCAACCGCTTCCAAGGGGAATATATACAGTGCTCTCCAAGGGCAACGATTTGTATAGTGCAGGTGCTCAGAGGCATTGAATCAACCTGTAAACCTGGGATATAGTGGAATCCCCTTCATGCTAGGGGGGCAGCAGCACCCCCCCTCACATATACCCTCCCCCTAGTTCCAGCACCCAAGCCGAGGAGGGCGGAATACAAGACGGAAAAAGCGAGGCTGCAAAATGGGATTATTTATTGTCTATCTGGTGACTTGTTTAGACAGACTTGAAGCCCTCTAAGGCAGGATCCCCTATTTCATGGTGTGTCCAGCACAATGGGGCTCGGATCCCTGATTAGGGGCCCAGATCCTGCCGCAATGCAAATACCAACAAGAGTCCTGGCAGCAACTATGTAGAACACAGAAGCCAAGCCCAAGGGAGCCAGCGAGGAGCCCAGGGAACAGGCTGGACGTCTCTGTAGCTACATCTGAAAACCCACAGCTGGCGCTGCAAGGCAGGGGGCGAGGGGGCAGCGTTCCCTGTAAACGGAACACTTGGGCAGCTGCCCAGGAGAGATTCCAATGCTGCCCAGCTGATTAGCAGAGCGCCCACAGCTGGCTGCATGTGTTTCTATTGGTGGTGCACATCTGCACTTGTCTCGGTGCACAGAACAACTTTTATTCCACGCCTGGATGGAAATAAATTAGAGGGAAGCTTGGTGGGGGACGGGGAGAAGTCCCATAGCGGAGGCTGCAACCGAAATGTCTAGGCCACAGACAAAGCCTCCGAGGGCTGGGATAAACTGAGAGAGCTTCCCTCTCCCAAGCTGGTGAATGGCTCCAAAGAGGCTAACTAACATAAACCCTGTCGCCAACAAAGGCAGGGGGAGCACAGAGCATCCATGAAGCAGTGGGAAGAGTCTGAAATCTATTACTGAAGTTAGGGACTCTCCCTGGAAGGAGCAGGAGAGCTGCCTCCAAGCCTGGACCCACTCCAACTTGGGGGTTCAAGACCCAGATCGTCCTGTCCCACCTGACTGAGGCCCCCTTCTCCCCCTTACCATAGGATGCCTGAGAAGACAGTTCATGCTGCCTTTGGAACCAAGCAGCAGATCCGGGCTGGATATGCTGATGCAATCAAAGTAATTAGGGGAACAAAAGAAGAGAAGGGGAAGGAAGCAGACAGGCTTAAAATGCAGGAGGAAAGGCTAATGACCAGTCTGCTCTACCTGAGGTTAGAGGTGCGGCCTTGCAATAGGCAGGTATCAGATATTGATATTTCACGGCCACCACAGAGAGACATTTCCAAATCAGCGGGTCCCTTCCATGGCGGGCAGTCCTACTAGGATTACACTTCTTTGCCTCCGCGCTGAAGACTAAAAAGGAATCAGTCGTCCACAGCGGAAAAGACACCTGGCCAGAGATGAGTCTGTTAGCCGGAAACCATGTAATCAAGCCATGCCAGCCTGGAGGTATGCAGATGAGGAGAGTCTGCTTTGATGTATGGTTAAAAGGTCTCTGATTAGGATCACAATATCCCAAATTGAGGAAAGCTTCACTAGTCAAAAGACTGAGACAAGGTCTGTATACAATTAGGGGAGGTTTGCCTACCTTCCTAGGTTACCCAAATTATACAATTCCCTCCGTCTTTTGTAGAAAAATACTTGTATTTCCTCTACCAACCTGTGCTCGGGGCAGAGCAGAGGGCGTGTTACTGTCCCTCCCTCTCCCTTTGCAATACAAAACTTCGAGGCCAACGTGTTCCACAAATATCTAGTGATTTCTGGTGCCCCATTCGAGACACCTAGAAGAGACGTGATTTCCTGGGAGTGGATGATCAACGTTTTCTAAAAGTCAGGCTCCCTTCAAGGCATTTCAAGTTGAAGGCACCCAAAATCCGAGCCCCCCAAAGTCACCAGCGCCTTTCAAAAATCTTTACCTAAGCCTCTTCATCCAGGACTAACTGAAGTGCTTCCTGGCCTACTTGAATTGTTTGCAACTCCTGGATGGAGATTTAGAAAGACACAGTTTAAGAGCCAAACATGTATGAGAACAGGAGGCTCCCGACATGCGACTGCCCGAATTCCGATCCCCCGCACTTACAGAAGGGGCAGAAAAACCCCAACTTATGTCCTTGGCCCGTGTTTACGATGGTGCACAGCACCTACCGTAAATGAGGGTTCGAGTTACAATGCCCCCGACTTGCAACGCTTCGCCCAGAACCAATCATGTCGGAAATCAGGGGCCTCCTGTAAGTAAGGTTAGATCATTCAGTCTTAATTTAATGGACTTAATTTAATTTAACGTAGATCCTTCCCTTCGCTAACCTTACACATGCTCATACATGTAGTGAGTACTGACTTTGCAAAGGCCTTGCTGTCATCATTTGGATGGCATTTTCAAAATCATTTGATGCTTTAGAGAAATTGATCTTTTGGGGGGAGTTCTTGGACAAAAGATCCATACAAATAAAATCACTTAAGAAAGCTGGCATGATATTCTTCAGATTGGGAAACATATTAGGTCTCCAGTTATAAAAATCCCATAATAATTAATAGAAAATTAAAGAACTTTAGTTTAAAACCGTTGCTCAAACATTCACCCATTGGCAAAATAAAGGGGAATTGATTTTTACATTTCATTGCCATCTTTCTCCCCCTCCTCCTCATTATTTTACAAACAGGGCAACTACAAAGATCTTTCCGTGTGGCACTCAGCTATGGTTCTTAGGCTTGCTTCCAAATGTAAGTCTTTACAGAGCAGCGTTACTTTAAAACATTTAAAGTTTAAAATTGAAAAAGGCTCATCTGCCCGCAGAAGCTATTGTCTTCACTAGGAGCAGACTAACTCACTAAATACACATGCAAGTGTACTCCTGCTCTGTTTTCATCTGTGTTTCTAGACAGGGAAAAAAGTTCCACTGGAAAAACTAGAACTGTTTTGCTAGTTTGTAATTCTCCTTCATCCATGGCAGAAGATGCACTCCCCAGTCATTTCTATCCATGCACCCTAGGGCTCTGTCTAGACTGCAGGCTTCTTTTGGAAGAACCTTTTTTCGGAAGAGATCTTCTGGAACAACTTCTTCCGAAAGACAGCGACCACACACAAAAGTACATCGAAAAAGTGATCTGCTTTTTTGAAAGACAGCGTCCACACAAAATGGACGCTATTTCACATTTCAGCTACGATTACTATGGACAGACTGGCCACCAGGGCATCTTTTTCCTCTTTCCTCTTCTTTCAAAAGAACTCCCTCTTCCCCGTCCACACATGCCTTTTTCCGAAAGAACTCTTTCGGAAAAAGGCTTCTTCCTCATAGAAAGAGGATTACAATTGTTAAAAAAAACCCTCTGTTTTTTCGATTTTCTTTCAGAAGAACACAACTGCAGTGTGGACGTATGTCAGGTTTTGTCAGGAAAAAGGCCATTTTTCCGACAAAACTCTGTAGTGTAGACATACCCTAAGTGAAAAGGCTACCACATTAGAACAGTTACATGTTCACACTCACTTGGTACAGATTAAGTGACAATACACGGTGCCAAGCACTCAAGAATCATGTGCACTGTGATGAGATCAGAAGTAGAAAACAAATGCAATAGGATGTTTTCCATAATTTTTTAAAGACAGAGAATCTGGAAGGAAATTAAGTCCTGTGTATTTTAAATATTTCCAGGAATTAAGGCTCCAGTTATAGCTTCTCAAATAGTGAAAATCAGTGGCTGCTGCTGCTGAAGTGACATTGGTTTACCACAGTTCACAATGTAGCTCAGGGCATGAGGGTTTTTTTTTTTAACTGGTTTTCATTTTCACTACAGGTTGCACCTCTAGAAACCAGGACTCTGGTCCGGCAACAGACCATGGATGTTCCAGGATCAGACACTCCTGGTACTGCAAGAGCCCAGCGTGATGCACAGTGGTGTGGGGTGTGTGGCCCCGCTCAGCTGTGGGAAGGAGGAGGAATGGAAACCCCCACGTGAGGCTCACCTGGGATGTGGAGGTCTGGGAGCCAGTGGACTGTGGGGAAGCCAGAGGGAGGCAAGGCAGGAGAGCCAGAAATGACCTCCCCTGATCTGGCAAAATCCCTCATCCGGGACCAGTAAGTTCCCAAAGGGGCCGGACCAGGGAGATCCAACCTGTAGTACCT